CAGTCTTGCTTCCACAGAGTGGCTGGTGAGTTTGAACCACCAACCCTCTGGTTAGCAGTCAGATCCCTTAGGCACTGTGCCAGAGCTTCAACTAAATAGTAGTGCATAATATTTAAAAATTCAAATATATGAGCTGTGTATAAAACAGATACTCCAATATAAATTCTTTTTCAGGTTTTTTCAATACAATTTTTCTTATTTTTGTTGTCGTTGAGAATATCACAGCACAATATACACCATTTCAACAGTTTCGACATGTACAATTCAGTGATATTTATTACATTCATTTAGCTGTCCCTCCTTTTCTGAGTTGGTCCTCCCCCATTAACATAAACTCACTGTCCCCTTAGCTTCCTATTTAATCTTTCAAATTGCTATTGTCAGTTTTATGCCGTATAGATAGAGCTTAAAAAATACAGTGCTCAAGCAGACTTTCTTTATTAGTTATGCTAAACTACTATTTGGTTTTAAGAAAACTTCAGGGGATAGTTTTTGGTTTAAAGTTTAAAGATGTTCTCAAGGCAATAGGTTCAGGGATTCATCCAGGCTCCATGGCTCGAGAAAATCTGGATTCCATGACAATTTGAAATTCAGTTCTGCACTTTTCCTTCTTGGATCAAGATTCTTCTATAGAATCTTTGATCAAAATGTTCAGTAATGGTAGCCAGGCACCATCCACTTCTGATCTCATAGCAAAGGAGGCAGTTCTTTATGGAAACAATTAACTGCATATTCCATATGCTCCTCCTGCTCCTGAGTGTCCTTACTGTATCCTTTCCCCATACTTATTCAATCTGTATGCTGAGCAAATAATCCAAGAAGCTGGACTATATAAAGAGGAACGTGGCATCAATATTAGAGGAAGACTCATAAGGAACCTGAATTATGCAGTTTATATCACTTTGCTGAACGTGAAGAAGGCTTACAGCACTTATTGATGAAGATCAAAGACTACTGTCTTCAGTATGGATTACACCACAATATAAAGAAAACAGAAATCATCAC